ACAGGGTCTCCCTGTAGCCCCAGCTGTCCTGGAACTCACTATGTAGACCAGGCTGGCCTTGAACTCATAGAGATACACCTGCCTCTGCCTCCCAAGTGCTGGGATTAAAGGTGTGTGCCACCACACCTGGCCTTATTTATATTTATTTGTATAAATGAGTGTTTTGCCTGCATGTAAGTGTACCCACTCATGCAATGCCTGCAAAGGCCAGAAGAGGGCAGCAGATCCCTTGGAACTGGAATTGTGGATGGTTGTGAGCTGCCACGTGAGTGCTGTGAACCAAATCTAGAACAGCTGGTGCTTTTAACCACTGACCCATCTCTAGCCTCTCCTCAAAGTTTTTATCACTACCTCAATCTACAAAACTATTAAAGTAGGCTGGGTGTGAGACCAAAAAAAAATCATTAAAAAACTATTAAAGTCATAGATATTTAAGTAAGTTTTATAGTACATGCCTGTGATCCCAGCACTTGGGAGGCAAGAAAATCAAAGAGTTCAGGTTCACAGCCTACATAGCAAATTTGAAATCAGCCTGGGCTATATAAGACTGTCTCAAACAAGACAAAACAAACAAGCAGCCATAGATTTGCTGTATTCTCAGTGAAAACAGAGCTTCAAGTATCCAAAGGGAAGTCACCCATGGTATACTAAGTCAGGAAGAGCATTTAGAGGAGAGACAAACAAGAAACTGTGTATTTGTGTTTTCACATGCAGACACCGTAGTCATCCTGGGGTGGGCTGAGGGCCAGCAGGAAGAGGCAGGAGGTGGTTTTATATTTTTCACTTTATATTCTTCAGAACTGCTTAAATTTTTTCATATTGTTAGTTTCACAAAAAGAAAAGCACAGTGACCCATGCCATTAGTCCCAGTACTGGGGAGGCAGAGGCAAAAGGCTCTCTGTAAGTTCAAAGCTAGCCTGGTCTGCATACAGAGCTCCAGGGTTAGGGTTAGTAGTGAGACTCTGTCTCGAAGAAAAACAAAAACAAAAACAAAAAATAGGGGCTAGAAAGATGCTCTTGTAGAGGACCCAGGTTCAATTCCCAGCACCTACATGGCGGTTAACAACAGTTCTTAACTCCAGTTCCAGGGGAGTTTGATGCTCTCTTCTGATCTCCTCGGGCACTGTATGACAAGGGTACACTTACATACATGCAGGCAATACACTCATACACATAAAACTAAAACAAAACACACACGGAAAAGAAAAGCAAGTATGTTGTGTTTCCCATATGATCAGAGTCCACCAAGGAAGGACAAAGTAGGCAGGGCCTCACGGGAGGGTCTCACTTGTGTTTGTTTCCATTCTTGACAAGGTCTTCAATATCCAGGATGGGGATGGCCAACTCTTGCTCCAGGCTTTTCTCTGCAGATGAGATGGGGTAAGCACATATGCTCAGGGTCTACTTGTATAACCCAAGAACCCAGGGGGACACACAGTACAAAAAGGTTTCTACACAGCAGGAAACATGGCACTTCACTACCTATGAACTTGCCAGAGAGAATTCCTGCCCAGTGGACCAGGTCTCAAGGAGAGGTCCCCCACCTAAGTGATCCCAAGAAAATCCTGCTCAGCACTTAGGAGGCAAGCATTGGTTTAAGGTGCGAACATCTCTCAAGGTTCCAAGCATCCTATCTATTCCTGGTCACCCCAAGACAAGATAGGTGTATCCTAACACCCAGCCTCCTAGGGTGGAGTGGTCAGAGCAGGTCACAGGTTGACAGCTTGTCATCATGGCCAACAGAGTTCAGGAAGTAAAACCACTCTTCTGAGCTTTCTGCCAATCAAAATTGACCCAGAGTTGGCACCAGAAGGAAAGTTGGTACTTTTAAGACCATAGCAGGGCAATGCTGGGAAACAAGGAAACCCAAGAAAGCTCACTCTGCCTAACTGGCAGTCCATTCCTTTCCTCACAACAGCAGTCCAGGAATAGGCACACCTGTGTTGGCTAAGTATTATCCTGCCATAGCACAGGCCCCCCCAAACTGGAGCCACTGGAATGCCTTGGGGAGCTACTGCCAACCAGGTGGCCTCCCATAGCTCCCAGCTCTACGCTCTACTGTGGCTGTTTCAGCCTCAGTATGTGTCCCAGCGTGTGTCAACCTCCTTCTTAGGAGCAGGACAAAGGCCCAACTCTTAGTTGCAAAGGGTAAACACACACGCACACAGACACAGACACAGACACACACGTACGCATGCATGCACGCACGCACGCACGCGCACACACACACATACACACACACAAAAGCAGTGACTGCTCCAAAAATGCCCCAGGGATAGCAGGCAGGCAGGAAAGGAAGAATATATCCCTCAGCAGTGCTGTAGCAACAGACCAGCCAATCAGCTCATTCTTTAGCAGAGACCCAGTTTGTCACACTTTCTGGACAGAGCTGACAAAGGGAAATCTGGAGAGGGGCAGCAAAGAGAAGTGGGGCAAGAAAACAGGGGTGGATAGTGGTGAGAAAGGTTGCCCCACAACCAGATTCAGAGTAACTGTAGAGATAGCATCCCTGGGCTTCCTATCTCTCTTCTAGGTCCTGAGGGGATTCTAGCCAGTAACTTTCCATCCTCATCTCTGACCAACAATACAAGCCTCCCCTTCCCTTTGAATTCTAATGGGGCTGCAGTCCACTCAAAAGACAGCCAGGCCTGGCTAGCTGCTGGAGACAAAATCTCACAGCCTGCCAGAGCAGCAACAGCAAGCAGATTCACAGCTAGGCAACCATCCAAAAGGCCAAGGAGTACGAGAGTCAAAGCCAAATGGACAGCTGGTCTGTGGCTCTTAAAACTAAGCCTAGAAGCCTAAGAAATAGAGAGAGAGGCCAGAGCTGTCAAGCCAGGTGGAATGGCCTCTCTGCCACAAGGAGTCTAAAGTCCTCAGGAAGGGACATACAGAACAGGGCCTGAATGTACACCTTCTCCAGTGGAGCCTTCATTGCTATAATCCAAAATTTTCCCCTCAGCCTTCAGGACCTGTGCAGGAGAAGTACATGCAAATAAGGGCTGTAGCAAAACATTAAACTTACAAGTCTCCAAGTGCTGACCCACACACAGTGTGGAATGCTGGCTGGGGCTGGTCCCATAGAAGCTGTACCAGGCCCTCTATCAAAATGCAAAGGAGAACCTGCATCCACCTCCTTTGTCAGGGTTGTGATTGGTGATGACCAGTATGAAGCAGAGGGGATGAGTGAATCAAGCAATCACAAGCCAGAGAATAGGTAAGGAAAGAACCCACATGGGAGGACTAGAAGCAGAGGAGTGGACAGGGGGAGGAGACAGGGTTGGAGATGTGGCTCAGTTGGTAGAGTTTTCCCTACTAGGCAACAAACTCTGTATTCAATCGCTAGCACCACCAGGGGTGGTGGCACATGCCTATAATCCCAATACTTGGAAGGCAGAAACAGGAAGATTAGAAGTTCACATTCATTCTTGCCTACATAGCAAGTTCAAGGCCAGCCTGAACTATATGGGGCCCTGTTGAAAAAAAGAGCTGGAGAGACGGCTCAGAGGCTAAGAGTGCTTGTTCCTCCTGCAGAGGACTAGAGTTCAGTTCTTAGCACTCACATCTGGCAGCTCACAACTCCTGTACCTCCAGTTCCAGGGATCCCCTTAGAAGTTCACATTCATTCTTGCCTACATAGCAAGTTCAAGGCCAGCCTGAACTATATGGGGCCCTGTTGAAAAAAAGAGCTGGAGAGACGGCTCAGAGGCTAAGAGTGCTTGTTCCTCCTGCAGAGGACTAGAGTTCAGTTCTTAGCACTCACATCTGGCAGCTCACAACTCCTGTACCTCCAGTTCCAGGGATCCCCTCTCCACAGTCAGCTACACAGAGTTGGAAACCAGCCTGGGATACATGAGACTCTCTCAAAAACTAAATGAAATAAAGACATACACCACACACACACACCACACACACACACACACACACACACACACACACACTTTAAAAAGAAAACAAAAACAAAACGCCTAGGCAACCCAGTGCCCACAGGCCAAAACAGATGAAAGAACCACAGAGGGCAGTCAGCAGTCTCCCTCCAGGAGGCAGGATCAATGGTCCACAGGTCAGAGAACTGTCTCTGACCAGGCCACACTAGAAAGATTTTGTGTTCTCTATGCACACCTTCCTGCCTCCCACAGATATCCAATAGGTCCTCCCTCTGAAGAGCCAGCAAGGACAGGAAAATGATGACACAAATATGAAGAGTTCCCAAACTGATGACCAGGCCCAGATTCCCAGCATCCAGATCAGGGACCTTAGGGCAAATGAAGGTACATATCCATATCTCAGGTCTTGACAATTGCACACTGAGGTGACTAAGTCTTCAGTTTTATCAGACCAAAAAACAAAGCAGGCCTGAAGGTAACAAGGAACATGGCTGGGGTCCATAGAGGCCTGCCACATATCTCTCTAAGAGGCAGAGGACAGCTGGGTGATAGAAGACCCTCTCTCCTGAGCTCAGGCCTCTGTCCTGATGAGCAACAGTTGCAAAGATCTCAGTTCTAGTGAACTGGGCACTCAACCAACATCAAGGAAGATAATAGTCCTTAGACCATCACAGCCCCAAGAGTGCTCGAGGAGTATATCACCTGAGCCCCCATACTTTGTTAGCATCTCAGTACCAAAACTATGGCAGGAAACAAAAGGAACTCTAATCCCAAAGAAGCTTGAGCCCCTAGCCAGGTAACCAGCACTGCAGCACCGTGTGGCCCCTCGGGTTACAGGAAACCATGAAGGGCACATCACAAGAAGCTCACTTTGTCACAAGTCAAAAAAAAAAAAAAGGAAAAAGAGGCACAAGGCAAAGCTACAGTGAGACAGATATGTTCAACTCTCAGCTGCAAACCACTATACCTCAACTGATACTGTCAACTGAGTAACTTGTAAGAGACTCAGTGTCCAAGTTCTCAGGGGTACTGGTCACACAGGCCTCTTCTGTCAGAAATGCACCTAGCTCCCAAAGAGGAAGCAGGTACTTAGCATGAACCCTGTTCGCATAGTAGGTCAGCTGATGGGACGAGCCCTTCCTGAGTGCCAGTTCCTGGACACTAGCCAAGGGTCAACTGGACTTTCTCAGATCACTGCATGAGCTTTACTGCATGTAATACCAGTGAGGGCAATCAGAACCCAGGTACACTGCTATACTCTCTCCCACAGGATAGAGCAAGTAGGTTTGGTGGTACTGAGCTAAACTCTAGGAGGCTGCAAAGGCCTCACCCAAACTGCTACCGGACAGCAGACCAGCTTCAAGAAGTTGCTCTTACCTTCTACATTGTTGTAGAAATGACAGGAGCGACTCGACACCTTTTTGCGGCACAAGTGGATCTATAAGAGAAAGGGCAAGGTGCTCAGCTGGCGTGCTAAGAAATGGTTACCCAGCCCCTCGGCCCTCACTAGCAACTTCCCCATATCCACCTTCCCTGTGCACTCTAACACCTGGTCTAGCCCAGCAGGGAGCATAGCAGCAGGGATTAGCATCTGCTGGAGCACAGTTAAAGGCTCTAAGACCCAGGCACCACCCAACCAGTAGAACCATAGGGTTAGAGTGCCCAAGAGCCCACCTGCATGTGGTTACTCTCCTGCTTCTTCACTTCAGGGTGAATACACAGCTGCTCCCGGGAGCCCAGCACACATACCTTGGGCCTGACAGAAGACAGAATAGAGGGGTCAAGGAGCTGCATCAGAACATATAGCTCACAGTATGGCCCAGCAGCATGAGCTGTGTGGAGATACATGGGAGCACAGAAATTTGGTGAGTAAAGGGAATAAAATGGCTGAAATGTGACCCAGGCTTGTGTTGGGGGTGGTAGGTAAGGCAGTTGTAAAGCTGGACAGAACCCATTATCTAAGTTCTTCAACACAGGAGCCATGGCAGGACACCAAGAGTTGGCTGGATTCTGGCCAAAAGCAGACTCTTCTCCCTTATGAGTAAAGCTGCCCAGGGGAGCCAGTGGCTGACTCCAACCACAGTCAACCACAGTCAACCACTACAACTACAGTCAACCACTACAACCACAGTAAACCACTACCAACACAACAGCCCTGAAAGGAGCCCATGCATTAGCTCAAGGATAAATATAAGTTCAAAGCTGCTTTCCTACAGGTGGTGAGCATCAGAGCCAGCCAGCCTTCATTCTCCATTGACTACACACATATACACAGAACTGGCTGTAGATCCAGCGCCACACCAAGATCATTCTCCAGATAAATTTGAGGATGGTATGAAGAGGGCGACCCACCGGTAGGAGGTATTCCGAAGCTCGCTGATGACCTGAGTTAGTTGTGAGTGAGTTCTAGAAGCGTAGATGATCTTTGGGATGTCCATGTAGCAAGCTTCATAAGCATAAGGAAAAGGGGTGGCTGTGAGGCAATGCCCTAATATGTTTATACACACAGCACTGAGCTAACTCAGCCCTGCAAACACCAACAAATCTGACACTAGATATGGTATGGTTCTTGTGGTGCCCTAATTCCAGGAAAAAGCTCTGACCCAGGTGTGAACAGTGAAAAATGATGTGGCTGATACAAAATTCTCCTTGCTTAATTCCAGATACAATAGAAGCCCAAGGGGACTGGCCTTGTCCCAGGCCCCATACCTTCCCCACCATCCCCACAGAAGGCCAGGAGAAGTGGAGGTAACAGGGTCACCTATGGAGTCTCCATCGGTAGCAGCAGCATTCCCCCAGGATGACAAGGTCTGACCAGTGAAAAGCTCCTCTTGTGCTCTCTCAGCAATCTTTCGAGCAGAAATGGCATCTCGGAGGTGTTCCCGCCAGGCCAGTGTGGTGCAGAGGAGGCAGAGTGTCTTCCCAGTGCCTGTGGGACTCTCCAGGATGCCATTCACTCTCTAAATGGGGTCAGAAATGGGGAGGAAAAGCAGGAGGCAGGGCAGGGGGGTGGGGTGAGATGGCTCTTAGATGCATAGCCCACCCTCTAGTGGTAAAATCCCCATGGGATGTAGATTAGTTCATATGACATTTTCCACTTTTAACCCTAAAAGCCACAGGTTCAGTCTGCCCTCATTAGTAAAACAATTTGCAGAACATTACCCAAAACCTGACAGTATGTTTCAGCCTAATATAAATAGAAAGATGACTAATTAGGTGTCAAGTCTCAAAATAGAAAACTGTTCTTCAATTCTGGATCCAAGCATTTACCCTATCTAAACAGAATCTTATGTCCTATTTAGATACCTGATGGGAGCCTGAGTAGGAGATTTAAGGAAAAGGTGGGCAGAATACAAGAGGGCATCCCAAGAAATGCAGCAGAAAGTTACCTTGCCCCTCCCATACCCCAAGTGTCAAAGACTTTTCCAAAGTGAGGATTGGGTACCCCTGACCCTCTGCACGGAAACAATTCCTCCAGGCCCTCAAAAGATGGCCACTCACTCCTCATCCACTGGCCTCAACCCAAATGCCACCTACTTAGAGAGCCTCAAGACACTCTACACCCAAAGCTGTCACCATCTAGAATTATCTCTTTTCTCACTTGTTATAGTCTCTTTTACCCCACGTAAAAGCCCTAGTGATGACAGAATGCAGTCTTTCTGTCTGGATGAGAATAAAGGGCTTGCTGAAGGCTCACCTTCATAGACTGCTCCCTAGAAGAAATGGTGGCACACACCTTTGATCCCAGCACTTAGGAGGCAGAGGCAGGTAGATCTTTGTATCTTTGTGAGTTAGAGGCCAGCCTGGTCTACATAGTGAGTTCGAGGACAGCTGGGGCTACAGGCAGACCCTGTCACAAAAAGACCAAAAAAAAAAAAGAAATGTCTCAGGCTCTGCAGCTTACCTTCTGGAGACATTCCAAGACTTTGGTCATGTACTCTTGCTGGCATTGGTAGGGCTGGAAAGGGAAATCCACTGTCACACCATTCAGGACTACCTTAGGCATATCAGCCTATTCTCAGGAGGGCACAAAGTGCGAAGATGCAGACTGTTTGGGTCTGTGAGACAAACCCCTCTGAACATCTCAGGGTTTCAAACCACTCCAGGTAAGTGACGCCAGCGGGTACTATCAGGACACAGTGTTGCTCTCTGCAGGAATCCCTACAGCACAGATATTGGGAAGTCTTTGTAGCCACACACCACTACACCAATCAATTCAGGAAGTTGGTCCTGTGAAGGTCAGAGGGTAAGCCTGTTATTTCCTATCAAAAGGAGCCTAGGGGTGGGGGTGGGGGCTGGAGAGATGGCTTAGCAGTTAAGAGCAGTGGCTGCAGTTGCAGAGGACTGAGGTTCAGTTCCCAGCACCCACATGCCAAGTAACAACCATCCACAACTCCAATCCCAAGGGATCCACCCTCTTCTGGCCTTGGCAGGCACTGCATACATAAGGTATGCTTACATACATGCAAGCAAAACACACATAAAAACTTTTTTTTTTTAAAGGAGCTTGGAAGGTGAAATTGCCAAGTGAGCAATCCCATTGCTGTCACACAGTCGCATCCTACTCTGGAAAAAACCAGGCTCACAAAAACAACAGGGACCTAAGCAAGCACAATCTTGGTGCTTCATCCGCAATAATCCAATGACTTCCAAAAGAAGTGTTAAGACTAAGAACCTGGCAGCACTCCCCCGGGCCTGGGTCGGCACACTTGTAGGGTGGAGTGCTGCACCTCCTGGCAGGTGATGCTCTTAAGGTGAGGGTCACGCACGTTTCAATACAGGTGGGCACTCAAGAGCAGGCAACCTAGTGAAACGGAAATCATGGTATGTAAACCTGTGTAGCACTCATTCAGTCACTCAACCCCTCCAAACCGTCTCCACTACATGCTGGGATCTGACAGGCGATAATCTATCCTCAGCCTCTTGGGGCTAGCCCAGGGACGTGCCTCTAGCTAGGCAAGCGCGGACCCAGAAGCCTGCGGGCCCAGAGTGCACCGCGGCCGCACTGGAACTGGCAGGAGCTAGGGCTTCAGTCTCCCGCCCCCGTCGGCGGACCGCTGAGATAAGACTGCCCGTGGCAGGGCCTCCGCGACTCCCAGCTCACTTGTCTCGGTGGGAAGCCTTTCAGAATACAGGTCCCCACGAACCCAAACAGGAGAAGCCGGCGTCCTCTGCGCTCTGCAGATTGGAACTTCCCGGGCAGAAGCGAGTGGTTGCCGCTAATCACAGCACTTCCGCCTCCTCCCTTCCGGTCCGCGGCTTGGCGCTCCGGGCGGAAACCGTTCCCTAAACTCCGCGCCTTAAAACTAGAGCGATGGACCCCCTCGCACCATGTACCTAGCCCAACGCGATCTTCTCGGCAGAGGACTTGCATCGCCCAGGGTCCCACTCCTCTCCTTCGACCTTGTGCCCGCCATCTTCTCCAGTCCTCTACAGTCTTACTCGGCCAAGCCACCACCATTTGCCCACACAACTGCACAGATCTTAGCTTTCCCGGGGATTCTGCCTTCGCCCCCCAAGAGGCATCGTTTCACGGCTGGAACATGATCTATAAAACCCACAAATGGCTGCTTCTTGCCCAGGACCCCTGATTAAGAGTCATCACCACATCCTCTCTCACTTGCCCCTGCCCAGCTTCTTTTCCTGTGTTCACCCCAGTGGTCAGGACAGGCCCCTTTGACTCTCCAGCACCTACAACTGGCTGACAGTCAACAGCGGGCCCCATGGAAGACAATTCTACACAATCCTTGAGGACAGCCCCTCAAGCATCAGAGATGTTTGTCTCAGACAACCCCAACATCTGCCAAAAAGGCATCTGGAAGAAGCTGGTGTTTCAGTGATTGCCCACAGCCAGCAGGAAATATTTATTTCAGAGCTCCTCCTTCACTCACTTTAATGCCCAGGTGATTCCCTGCTTGGTAGCAGATGTGTGCGACATACACCTATACTTATGTATATGAGGTCATGCTTACAGAAGACCCTGACACCACATCCAAGCACCTTCAGTTTACCATACAATCTCAGCTCTCAATGGAGAGTTGGAGAAGATAAAGATGAGGCAGGTCACACACACCAAGCATAGACAACTTCCTGGGCCAGTAGTGGAGCTGAGGACTCTCATGACCCTGAGCTGATTCCTGAAGTGCCTAGGTCATAGCAAGGCAAATCTAGCTCTACAGCGTATGAACAGTTGCTCTATGGCTCCTATGTAACAGTCCTTGTTGCCCTTCTTGCCCCTCCCTTTGGGCATCACACAATTTGGCTATCAGACAATTAAAGAATAAACCCCAAGAAATTGGAATTTCCCCAGGAAAGTAAGAAAAAAGGTGAAGTTTGAGTCTAGCCAGAGAAAGAACTTGTCTCAGGGAAAGAGATGTTACACAGTTCTGACAACTTGTCAGGCCACTCTGCCAGAGACTGAAGCCAGAGACACTGATGATGGGCAGGACCCACATCTTGACCAAGTCTGCTTATTATTAATGCCTCTTGCCCTCTTATTTGAACCTAAACCTCATGTCAGTTTCCTGAAGATGGACTTTATTCCTCTTTCCAATGTGGCCACATTAAATAAATCTTTTTCTGCTTTTCACTATTACTTTGTCTATTTAATTGATTTATTCAGGACTGGAGGCCAAGCCTAGCTTGTTAGCACTACCAGGACCCATACTTTGACTCTAACAACTCCACTAACAATAATATGTAAAAGCTATTCTCCCGAATCTAACATGAGAGGTGAGAGGATGGGTAAGCTGAAGCTGGCTACTGCAGGTCTCACTCAGAAGGTACAGAGATCTCAACCAAGTCAACAAACTTGTATTCTGTGTCTGCTCTGGCAGGCTTTAAGGAATTCTCACTGTAGATAAAATGCTATCTCAGTCACAGGGTAGATGTGAGCCAGTCACACACAGGATTGTATTACAAATTTTGGTAAGTGTAAAGAAGGGAAATAATAGTAAGGGAGCTCCCTTGACTAGAGGCCAGAGAAGGCAGACCTGAAGACTGCTCTGGGAATAGTATGGGAAAATCTATGTTGCTGGTGCTGGAACTCTGAAAGGACATAACAAAAGGAACTTAAAGAAGCTAATAAGAGCTAGGCATGGTGGCACACGCCTTTAATCCCAACACTCAGGAGGCAGAGGTAGGTGGATCTCTGTGAGTTCAAGGCCAGCCTGGTCTACATAATGAGTTCCAGGCCAGCTGAGGCTACAGGGAGACCATGTCTCAAAAAAAAAGTCCAAGCCAGGCTTGGTGGTGTACACCTTTAGTCCCAGCACTCAGGAGACAGAGACAGGTGCATCTCTGAGTTTGAGGCCAGCCTGGTCTACATACCAATTTCCAGGCCAGCTGGGGCTACAGGTAGACCCAATCTCAGAAAGACCCCCTAAAAAAGTCCAAAACTAAAAGAAGCTAATAAGGCTGGCTAGGTGTGGTGGCACATGCTTTTAATCCTAGCACTCCAGAGACAATGAATTTGAGGCCAACTTCCTTTACATAACAAGTTCCAGGCCCTGCCAGAGTTATATAATGAGAGAACCTTTCTCAAACAAAACAAAAGGAATCCAATAAGACCAGAGAAAAGAAGTTAGTCTAAAGGCTCCCACTGTATCTAGGAGTGAAATAATACCAGAAGAGCTGAGTGAGTGGAAGGAGGTCTGCGTGTTTCTCCAGGGCCTCTTCATTTTATTGTCAGCAGATACCAGGTGCCAAGACTCTGATACACCTCCCCTGTCCTCTTGTCTCTGATGTAGTCCAGGATGAAACACCTAATAAGTATTTCACAGATGCTTGTTGAATGAGCATCCTTCTGAGATACAGGGCTTCCCCTAGAAGGGCCATGATTAGTTTCAGATCAGTGAAGGGTTCTGATCTGTAAACTCTGTAAACTAAGGTTCATGAAAAAATAACCCAGAAGCAGCTGCTTATGAACTGTTTGCAGATGACTTTGGTGAGAAGTCAAAGTCTGCTCCAAGACTTGGCACCATACTGAGACAAATTTAATACACCTATTGTGCATAGTGTAAGTGCCTACCGTGTGTGTGGCACCAGGCCAGAGGCAATCAACACAGCTGGCCACTGGGATCCAGAGAAGGACAGAGGCTCAAAAGGAGAAATGCCCAAGGTGAGCCTGAGGCAGTACAGTCCCTCGAACCTACCTAGGTAAGTGCCCTTCCACTCACGAGATTGGAAGGATGAAATCAAAGATTCCTTTTGATCTTAGCACCTGAATTCCAACCTAAATAGCTGAGTTCATCTAAAACATACAACAGTACCCAGATGCAGGGTTACTGGCTCAACTAGAGTACATGGTTACTTCCACTAGAATCAACACCACCGTTAGGAATAGTTTTATGTGTTTCCCCTCCCAGAGCAGAGTTCCAATGAGTGGTACACAACAGAACTGTGTTTTTGTGTGTTCATGAGCTTGGTATATCTACATAAAAAACTGACACAAGTCTGCAGCTCATGTCAATCTCTAGTACATCTCCTCTCCTTACCTTCTGGGGTCTGGCATCATGGTTCATCTCACACCTAAGAAGCAGAGGATCAGAGAAATCAGAAACTCTCCCTCCATCAAATAGAGAATGTAAGTGCTGGTGCTAGAACCTACCTCTAGTTCATATCAAAGCCCTGTTCTAGGCATCATGTGTTAGTCCACAGTTCTTTTTTTATTACCTTTTTTTTTTGAGACAGGGTCTCCGTGTAGCCCCAGCTGTCCTGGGACTCACTATGTAGACCAGGCTGGCCTTGAACTCACAGAGATCCACCTACCTGCCTCTGCCTCCCAAGTGCTGGGTCCACAGGCGTGCACCACCACACTCAGATTAGTCCACAGTTCTTGATATCTTAAAGCTGAAGATGGTCCTGGGAGGCCTATACCTGGTATGTATACGACTGTGCTGACTTCTGTCTGAAGGCTCTGAAGGCAAACCTACTTCCAAGGTATTCATGTGTGATGGCTAATCCTGGGTGTTAGTTTGCCTGGATCTAGGATTAACTGAAATGAGAGAGATCTTGATTGGATCATCTGAAGCTGGAAGACATACCCTAAATGTGGGTGTTACCTTCTGATGGCAGCTGTATAAAAGACCAAGGCAAGAGGAGAGTGCTTGCTTTTTGCCACTTGCCTTCTCTCTCGCTGGTGAGTTCGTCTTTGCTGTAGACTGAAGACTAGCCGATCTTTTGGAATTCATCAGACCTTCAGTGCTAGATTGGGACTACAGAGCCATCCAGCCTTGTGTACTGAGCAACTACTGGATTCTCAGCCTCTCCAGTGTGGTGCAACCATTGTTGGACTACTCAGACTCTATCCTGTGAGTTAATCTGATAAATCCATATATATATATATATGTGTGTGTGTGTGTATACATATATGTATTATATATTCATTCTACTGGTTCTGTTTCTTTAGAGAACCCTGACTAATACAGATTGTGGTACTAGGAGTTGTTCTAGAGAAACAGAATTGAAAGGATGAATTTCTTTAATGGGCTTGCTTGTTGGTATCTGGAGCAGGCTCCCATGCTACCTGAAGACCCTGAGTTGGAGAGTCTTCAGGTGGTATGGAGAATACTGAAAATCCATGGTGTAGACTATTTGAAGCAATTATGAAGGTAAACACATTTGAGTCTTTTAACTCACCTTGTGTGAGGAGCTAGAAATTTAGTGACTCTATGCATAAAACATTTGACAATTTGTGGAAAAATAAGAAAAATAATGATGCTGGCTGGTTACTTCTAGCATCTCTGGATAGTGATGGAGATAAACGATGAGTTTAATGATAAAATTAACCAGCTCCATATTCAAATCAACAGTTTAAAAATTTCCAAGTGTGCCCTGGAAGAGAATCTTCTCTCCAGCAGCCAGAGAGCTAAAGCTGCAGAAAATCAAGCTGGAGGGAGCCCTTATTATATGTTTGGCTGACCTTCAATGCAAATTTAATTGCCAGCCTCAAAGAGTGTCAGCAGTAAAGGTGAGGGCACTGGTAGGGAAAGATGGGAACCCTGACATGTGGGGTGGAGATGTGTGGGAGAACCCTGAAGAGGCTGAGGATTTTGAATCCTCAGACTCTGAGGAATTTATTTTGCCTGATGAATTAATCTCTCCACCCACAGCAGAGAATCTATTCCCATACCCTACAGACCCACTCTCCCCACCCTTGCCTGAGGAAACTAATCCCATTCAGCAAGACAAAGCTGATGTCCCTTAGGGCCCAGTTTTTGTTGCTTCTGGACCTATAACTAGATTC